GAAAAGCTTCTGGTAGTCACATCAAAATGAAAGTGCTGTTTTCCAGCGCTTGTTTTCCAGGCGGGCTCGGAGGGGAGAGCAGGGGCTGATGTGGGATGCGGGAGGAATGCAGGACGCAGGAAGAAAAATTGTTCTTATCAACAGAGTTCAACCCAGGAGAGCTGAGATATGCAAAAGGCTCAAGCTAATAAGCTGAGCAAACAGTACTTAGAGGGCCATGGCCGGGCACAATTATGCAATGCTGGTTTATTTGCTGCTGCAGGTTTGATGGAAGAAAGCCCAGGTGGCAGGTGAGGAGCTCGGGGCCAGCAGCTCGCTCGTGGTCGTGTCCCCAGCGCGGGGCTGCGGGTCTCCCGGCACACCCACGACTGGAAGGGATTTAAACCCATTCTTAAGAAATTGCACAATTATTGCAAAGTTCAGAACAAAACTCTCAAGACGCTTACTCACGCGCTGAACTATTCTGTTTTCCATACCCTATAGCCTACTAGGACGCGCACTGGATGAGCTAACGCTGTGGCTTCTGCTGCATCGACCCCGATGGTGACTGTGGTTCCCAGCTGAAATACAACCTGGGGACGAAACGGCCGTGGGAAGGACCATATGCACCTTCAAGCATGGAAAAAATAAGTACCACTGAGCTGTCGAGCGATGCTGGTTTTTTTGACCCGAGGAGCTGCTGCACCGACCCGGCAGCTCCACCGCGCAGGTGTCACCGTGCTCCAGGTCCTTGGTGGCCACAGGGGAGAGGTCACGGCTGGCAGAGAAATGCAGGTGGGCAGTGGACGTGGGGAGGTTGATTTTGGGGCAGTCATTAAATGTGGGTGCTTCCATGGCCCCTCTTCCCCAGAGCACTTTATGAGCGTAATTCGGGACAGATGCTGTCCTGTGAGTTGGCGATTGCAATTAGCCCAGCATTACAGGGGACGCCCTGGGTGTCCCCAGTCCCGTCCCCATGTGCGTTTGCAGCTCCGTGCCTCCCAGAGCGGAGCCTCTATTCCCACCAGACCGCCTTACCCACCCCAGGCGTTGAAAATAGAAGCAGGAG